AGCTTGCCCTCCTGATAGACAATATATACGAGGAATATAATTAAAAAGTGGTGCTAAGGAATCTAAAAAAATATCTAGCCTAATGATATTAGCAACAACGTGGCGGTTGAATGAACCTAGATGTCTTCGCATATTATCCAATAGCAGTTCCAAAGCTATTTGGGGATGGAGAAAAGAAGGGGACTGTGACGTCCCTTGTTCAAAGATGACAGTAACAAATTGTAATTGATAAACGACCAAGTATTTGAGGCATTTACCAGAGGCATCACACTGCATATCTTTTGCACTTCCAGCCCAACATCAGACTGTCTCACCCGTTTTCCACGAGCAAGTGCCTGACACTTGACAATGCCCGCCACACTGAACAGAGTAGAAACAGCTTGTCTCCGAACCAGGTGCCCCCGGATAAGTGCCTGTAACCTTATTATTCCTTTGAGGGCCCAAAATGCTCGGCGTGCCTTCAGATAATATACCAATTCATTCAGTAATTTGTGATCTCAATTAAAAAAAATTGATACAATAAGCATTAGACAAAACAAACAAATTTAATTCACTGACTTACTAGATAACCCCTAAAGGCAGCCTGCGCCTTTGTTGCAGCTTGCTCTTGCCTGATTCTCTCAGGATCATGCGCCGCATCTTGTGGTGGCGCGGATCCTTGTGTTTCTGTACTTTGAATTCCTGGACCTCCATCACTTAATACACTTGGAGTTTCCTTGTTCTCCAATTCTAAGTCTCGGTTGTTATCTATGGTGTTGGTGGTTTCATGAAAAGCCACAGGTGGATCTGAAGAATAATCGGCTCCGGTTGCCCTGGCAGCAATCACCACCTCTTTCTGATTTGTAATTTTCTATACACAATGGCGAAAGACATAAATATAGAATCTGTGTAAGTTATTACGTTAATTACATAAAGCGAAACTTATGAAATTGAAGAGATAGCTTAGATGCAAAGGGCAACCTATGAAAATTAAAGTGAAGTATGCCTTATGTCAATGTTAAAGGAAACGTTTGAGAATAATGTGTCAGCTCAACAACGATTGTTTTACCTCTCTTCCTTTAGGAATGCCAGCTTTCGAAGATTTCTTTCCAAACAGCACCGTTTTGATCCATTTGGCCGGTGATTTGCCCATCTCGCGAAGGCCAAGAGCCGGAAAAATCCTGAATTGCAAATTGAGCAAACGAAATCAAACCGAATTGATGTCGTTCACTCCGACGACAAAAAGAAAACAAATAACGAAGCAACGCAATCTCGCAGTTTCCAAAAACCAAACATGATTTCAATATCTGCCCAGTTCTTCCATATGAATCAAAATACACACCACAAGAGCAACACACGGACAGATCCTCAAAACATTTCGCTTACGATCTCAACCGACACCCCCAACCTTCCAACTGAAATTCAATAAAACCTTGAAGAAAGACAATCCCCAACGTCCCATTCCTCATTGAGATCTTCAACTAATGCACTAAACGTTACACTCAACATCCATTAATGGCAGCATCAATGCAATCACTTAAAGTCAATTGAGATTACAGGAAATCTAAAGCTCCATTAACCTACATTAATCAAGATAACATCTCCACAACAATTATCATTAACCAAAAACTCCAGAAAACACCACTAAGCAAATCACACCACTTTCACTTAAATCTAACTAAAAACTCCAACAACCCACAAGATCTTACAACTCAATTAACTTGCTAATTGTATAAGGCTGAGTTAAACCAGATCTGAAACTTACCTCACAAATGTGGACCTTCAAAACCCCAAATCTACAATTCCTGAAGAAAAAAATAAAATAAAATAAAAACAGAAACCCAATATTTTTCAGGCAAAATTAGTAAAACCCAGAAAAAAAGATTTGAGCTTTCTGCAACAGAATGCAAAAAAGATTGAAGATTTGCACAGAAATAGATAGAACAAGGAAGGAAAAAAAATGTACCATGAGTGAGAGAGAGTGTGCAGAAAACCCAGAAAAAAATATGTGCAAAGTATAAAAAAATACGAAAAAGCTTCAATCTTTGCTTTCTACTCTCTGTACTTTGTCGTTCAAAAATTGGGTGACTACCAAAACAAAAATCAACTGCGGTTAGGTCCAGGATAACAAAATGGGATCGTTTATGATTGGCCAATTAAACCGGATATTTTCAGATTGCTTTTGCATGATGGTTGGATTTGGAGTTGTATTGTAGTCCGACGGTCACAAATGTAAGATTACCATGGGGATGGTTGTAGAGGATTATAGGGTAGGAATGAAAGACGAAGCATTGCCAGTCCCGAGTGTGCAGTTACACAGTTGCTTCGAAAACAAGGGTGCCAGAGTCGTTATATATTCCCAAGAATGGTGAAATGACGATTTTGTCCTTCCAAGTAAATCGAATCGGAGGCGCGGTTGCGCGCGTGATTTAATAGCGTCCGTTAGATTAGGCGGCGGAGGTCAAACGGAGTCAGGAGTGTGATGACTTGCTGCTCTCCCCTCTGTTGCAAGACAACCCTTTCCATTTTTCATTGCGGTCACCAACAACGAGAAAATATAAGTAAAAAATAAAAATAAAAACTATAAAGAAGGGAAAATTAGACCAGAAATCTCTTTCACCTTCGATTGTTTTCCTCCTACCTTGTTTTATATATGTTTGTTGTAACTAATAGATAGATCCATACCAAGGGCATATCTCACTTTGAAACAATCTTATGACGGTGATTTTTACATGCTATTTTTTTTTTCGTATGTGTATCTTTTTAGCAGAGGCGTACAAACAAGAAAAGAGACTGCAAAAGTCATTTCCTTTATTTAGCATGCAATGATAATTGGAGAGAAAAATATTTGGCTTAGACCATAATGAGACAGTCATAAGTATATATCAAACTTGCTATCTAGATAAGTCGAATACAGTGTCTAAAATATCGATATCGGTTGCTTTCGACGAAAATTATGAAAATCTGCAATGGATTGGTATATTAACTCATTCAGATTTAGTCGAAATCAAAGAAAATTTCTCAAAAAATAAAAAATCAAATCAAATCAAAAGTTTGAAGTCTGCAGTGGGTTCCAGCAAAACTTCTGTAGTAAAACGGTAAATATTGTCGATGTTCATTGATTTTCCTATATCTCGCCGATACAAGGTGAAGTTCGCATTTTAACCACTATTTTCATATCGATTTTTTATTTTTTGGATATCTCTACAAAAATATCAACAATTTCTTAGTGTTTTTTTTTTTTTTTTTTTTAACAAGCGATATTATTTACACTAAAGGGTAGGGGATTGGCTTAGCCTCACAATGTGCTAGCAATAATGTGGTTCAAATTCACTTTTGGATAAAATCGAATCTAAGACCTTTTACTTACAAGTAAAGATGAATACCATTAAACCATAATACTAAGTGGCAATTTCGTAAATATTTTAAACACAGAGCGGATATGAAACATTCACTTACAAATGTACAAAAATACACTAAACCATAGTACTATAGAAATCATTTACATCTAATAGGTTTGTTGAAATATTAATTTTTTTGTGGCCTTTGGGGTGTACTATTTACAATCGCATACCACAAGATATGCATGTATAGGACATGTCATCCACCAACCCAACCATGAAATTGAATGCCATCGCTACCACAATGGTAAAGGCAATGCCCTACCAAATCATGTATATGGTTATGACCAAGTTGTCAATCCAACCAACAAACATAAATAGTAAATATCCAGGATCACTGATTGGTTACAATTTCATGTTCTTATCCATGATCATTAATAATGCGACACATATTTTATTGTTTTTAAATTTCAATAACAATTGAATTTTTATGTAGATAAATTTTTTCAGTAAAAACTTCATGTTGTCAGACTTGTAGGATCTTCCAATAGGACCAACTCTTATGATTGGGTTAAAGCTTGAATTTTTAGCTCATAAAATTCATATTTGATCTCATTCATCGAATTTAATGTATTTATAAATTTGATTTATAAAAAAATTAAATCTGGACGGTTGAATCAATCAATTATCCAACCAAGTGGGACATCGGATAAAAAAATAGTCATTGGTCTTTCTGCAAGTGGCCAATATTGTGAACTTATGAGTCCCACATTTAGGTCCTAGCTACTATCCTTGACTCATTTTCTAGGCTAAATTTGGCCCAAAAATAACTCTAAACATCTTTTAACCCAATTATTAGAGAAGCTTTGAAGGGTTTGAAACTTAAATTTTGATTTTTAAGCAAGCCATTGGAGTTGGTCTAAGTGGGGATGGACCAATCAAAGGGGATTCGTGCGTGATCACACCTATTTCGTGTTTGGCCCAATGGGCCGGAGAGTCTCGCCCATCATGCATGTCCAAGCCCATTCCAAAAGCAAGTACGACCCAAAAGACAAGGAAAACTGAAAAAGATCTATGGGATATCGTGATTATGTCTGTTTATCGTATATTGTACGGTCAGTTTTTATTAGTTAGGTACTATTTATATTTAATTTAAAATTTAAAATTTAAAATAATTTATAACCGTACGATGTAATGAACGAATAAAATCACAGGATCCTCCGAATCAACCCAAAAAAAACAACATTTATTTATTTATTTTTTGACCGGGAGACAAAAGGAAAAAGTTGAAAAAACGCCCTCCCACATCTCTTCCAAATTCTCAACCGCAAAAGCAGTTTTAACGGCTCGCGATTTGAAATTCGAAATTTCGAATTTTATCTCCTAAAATTATAAAATAAACGGGCCCCGTGCGGCGCCATCCGTTACCTTCATCATCACACGCGTGAGTCGTCCACGCGTCCACATCAGATCGTAGATCCCATCCGCTCCGAAGTCCGCTGACCAAACAATATTCTGACACGTGGAGAATGTTCAGGACATGGGCGCATAAGAACGCGAGTAGTGGAGATTCCGTCGTTAAGGCGCGTGTGGCAGAATTTGAGTTTGCCTTGTGGGTATTCCTACAGTTTTCCCGCCCAAACAATTAACTCAAAACAAAAAAAGGAAAAAAAAGGGAAATTGAATATAAAGCTGGTGTCTGATTCATTGCTGCTTACACAAGTGAAGGAAAGAAGAAGAATTTCGAGAAATCAATCGATTAATCGATCGAATGGAGGAGCCCCAATCTGCTCAATCTGCCCAGTCTGGTAAAATTCAAAATCTTTGGGGGTTTGTTTTGTGGATTTTATGAAAATTGTTGTGAAATTGGGGTGTGGGTGTTGGTTGTTTCAGGAAAGCTTCTTCGGTATGCTCTCCGTTCGGGGACTAAATCGAAGGAGGAGAAGCCGCCGGTGGCGGCCGCTGAACCCTCCCCTAACAATTCTGCCGCCAAGAGGTATGATTTGATGATGGCGATGTGATAGGGCTGATGTTTTATATGATTCCACTTGTAATTTTGAATCTGGTAATGGGGATGGTTTCGAGTACATGTTTTGAGGATAGCAGTAAGCGAATTGATCTAATTGGAGGTGAAAAATCAAATTTTGGGGGAAATTGGAGGCATGTAAGATGTCCTAATTCACATAAATTGAACAATTTGATGGTATATTAGCAAATGGTAATTGATTTTTTAGGGGAAACAGAAGCAAACTTTTGTTGCGGAGAATTGGTGGTACTGCTTGAGCAATGCTGAGTTTGTACTGTGTTTTGCAATTTTCGAGGATAGCAGTAAGCAAAGTCATTTAATTGATCAATTTGGGGGTGAAAAATCAAATTTTGGGGGGAATTTTAGGCATGTAAGGTGTCCCCAATTCACATAAATTGAAAATTTTGATGGTATATTAGCAAATGTTAATTGATTTTAGGGAAACAGAATCAAACTTTTGTTGCCGATAATTGGTGGTACTGCTGAGTTTATACTGTGTTTTGCAATCTTTGGCAGTCTATCTCTGCGAAATTGCTGATAGGTTTTGTCACTTGAGAATAGAGTTATGAGTTATGTTTTTCGGGTTTTGGGGTTACAAAAGTCACTTGTTAAGCTATAGATTAGTCCCAATTCCCTTGTGATTTTTCACCATGGTTGTGTATTTTCTGCATAAGCAGACTGGTTTTGCTTAGAAACACACGTCCGATAATTGGTTGAGGTTTATGTGAGATGTTAACTATGTTTTAGGGAAAGGCCTGCATCAAATATGAGTAAAAGTGTGGGGGTTCTTGATCTCTCTGGCAAAGACAAGCCTGCCAAGCCGACCCGAAGGTTTTCAATTCCTTCCAAGCCGCCCACTACTCCGGCTCCGAAACTTGGTGGCAACATCACTCAGATTTCCGAGGCTAGATCAAGGAGGTCTGTGAGAAGTGACTCCCCTGCTTCTTCTGATGTTTCTAGACCAACAAGCCGGAAGAAGTTTAATGTTCTGGCCTCACCATCTTACTGGCTGCAGCAGATTAAGCTGTCTGAGGCTGCTGGCAAGCACTTGATTTCACTCGGGTTTTTCAAACTAGCCTTGGAGGCTGAATGTGAGGTACAACTTGTGTGTCCCATTGTTTCAATTTCCCATTTCACCTGCTTTTGGGTTGAACATTTGACTTCTTATCCACTATAAATTATATGTCAATGTGAGATGAACTGACTTTGTTGTCGTTTTTAAAAATTTTCAGTCTCTTCAACTGCGTTATGAGCTCAAATCTTATGTTGATCGCTACGAGCTTAGTGACCTTGAAGACCCTCTGAAGGAATTACTGGAGAGCAAAAGTGTTGCAGTAAATGAGCAGGCTCAGGTCTCCGAAACCTGTTCTCAGGTGCTCGAAGAGGGGACTCGATCTTCTGATGATGATGCCAAGAGCTGCTCTTCTACAATGGCAAGTGGGAAACTGAAACCCAAGTCATTGAACATTAAAGCTGCTCAAGTTTCTCCAGAGAAGGCCACAGCCAAGAAGGAGATTTCCTCGAAAAGCACTCCAGCAGCCAGGACCAGGTCATCTTCGGTGAAGAGTACTTCGAATTCAGGACCTGTATCTGACAATGGAGCTCGCGTGTCTACTGTGAAGAAACCCCAGAAGCCAAACGTGCAAGATTCTAACAAAGTAAAGGACAGGAAGAAGAAGCCGGGGAATCAAACTGCTTGTGAACAAGGTTAGTGCTTCGAGTGTCCTATGTGTAATCATCTTTCCTTGTTACTTTGGTGTGCATTATTTGATGGTTCAACGTTGCCGCAGACTCAATTAACCCTGCCGCAGAAGGACTTCAGGAGAACAAAGAAAACCAGGTGAATTTAATTTTGTTTTTTCACTACGATTTCGCATAATCAGTTAGCCTTGTTTGTTACACTACGATTTGATTTGCTCTAACACTGACAGTATCTTTATCTGTCTGCTGTAGGATGCCCCCTCGACGGAAGCTGCGACTGAAGTGTAAACATACAGAAAATGTCGATGTCATTCACATGTTCTTGCTGGGTTTGTATTCATTTTGTTCATTGTGAGGGTTTCCTGTGTAAAGATTTCGGAGGCTCAAAGTTTTTCGGTCTATAAGCTAAACAGTAGTATTTGTCTGCCGTTGGATTAAAACCGGGCTTTGTTTGGTTATTGCGATACAGTTTGCTGGTGATGTCTTGTGCTGAACCAAAGTATTTGTTGGTCAAGTCTGTACTATTTTCTGGCATAATCTTATATTTTTTAGCTTAGGTATAGTCTGTGATTTATGTTCTGGATTGAATTGCAAATGAGAATGTCATGATTCAAAAGAAATTAGAACCGATTTTAAGAAAATTAAATTAAAAAACTGAAGAAATGAAGCTCAGAAAAACAAAAGTTGTTACAAAATCGCGTCTTCTTCTTTATTTACTGATTATCAACGTGTAATCATGCATAAAACAGTACAATTAATTCAGGTTTCAAGCCATGCTTGGCATAAACCAGACCGGACGCGGCCAAACATACATGAATCCACTCAAATCACATCCGAGCAGCTCAACTTTTCTGTCTTCCATGCTAAAGACTCCCAAATCGTGGCCAACCATCAAGCTATCTTCCATGTCCAAACTATCGTCAGTGAAATAGATGCAGTTGGGTTTTATTAGCCCCTTGAAATCTTGAGCTTTAATGGCGGAAGTGTGGTTATGCCCCACGAAAATTGTCCACTCTCCTAAGCCATTGATGGGTTCCCATTCGCCTTCAAACTGATCATACCTGTAAGCCTCAAAGTCATAAGTCTCATGGCCGTAACGAGGGTTGTCCTGCACAAATCTTATCAGCATCACGAGCTCTCCACCAATGCCGACAAGATAAACTTTGCCTCCTTTGAAGGTAAAAGGGGGAGCGATTTCATCAACTCTCGGCGAAAAACAGCCATCGTCATCAAGATCGCACAAAACGAGCTTTCCAATCTCAGTAGTGGCAAGCAACTCCTCCCCCTTAAACAAAATAATGTCTTCATAGTTATTCCCTGCATCTTGTAGCACTGTCCATGTCTTGTCCCTCGCTTTGTAGCATACGAGCCTTCGCTTCTCTCCGAAAATCGCCAATACTTTGTAATCAAACGGATAGCGGGAAGGGTCTGCGGATAGCACAGCTTTGTGAAGAACACGTGAAGGGTCTTGATCGTAAAACGGAGAGGAGCAGAGCTGTGGGAGAGCGATTTGGGCGCGGTTGAGAGGGTTGAGGAGGGCGACAGACGACGTGGTTTCATCGCGCAAGATTAGCCACCCCGATGACGAGCCACACACAGTCTTTTCGAAAGCCTCGGGCAGTACGAGACAGTGGGTTTGGTGGGTGTAAAGGCTGAAGAAACACTTCAGGTTTTGGTTTTCGTAAGCTTCAGCGCCGTCATGAACGCCGTGGTGGTGGTGACGGTGGTGGTCGGGCAGCATGAGCCATGGGAAGTCGAGAGGGAGAGGATTGTGGGCAAGGTCGACCAACATGTTGGGTCGTGAATGAATATTAGGGTTTGATTTCTGGAGATGACACAGCTACGTACAAGCTACGTAATGGAAGTTCTGAATAATGATGGAACGAGTCTGAAGATATATATATATATATATATATATATATATATATATATATGTATATATGTATATATAGACACACACACACAGTGGAGTTCCCAAATAGCTTGGACTAGGAGAGTAAGTGACCGCTCTATTAAGTTTTGATTACTTGTTTGGGAAGTTCATCAGATATTAACAGTAGAACTTACTCTATAAGTTTGGAAAGTCCAAAATATACTTTTATAGTGAATCGTAAATTTTTACAATATAGTCCTAAATATTCTTTGTAATTATAGACCGACATAAAAAGATTTTTACAATCAATTATCCACCAGAGCAGGTGGGTAGAAGAGGTTTTCTCCATTTGAATAAATAATTTCGCTTTTTAGAAAATAAATCACAACTTATATTAAATAGTTTCGCTTTTAATTGCATCAGGGTTTTTTTTCCATAAAAGCCCTACATTGCACTGTCACACATCAGATTAAGCGGGCACAATTCGATGCTATTGGTGGTGGGCCGCAGCCGTTATCTTTAAAACTCTTTAACTTTTTGTCCAATCTAGCTATTGAACTGTTTTTGTATGGACTTGGATTGTCTGTCCTCTAATTGTGGTGCCCTCTCCGTGCCCTCCTGTTTTTGTGGTCACGGTTAAGTCACGTCAACATTTTATATTACTATTTTTTTTTGTTTTATTATTTTTATAAAAAAATAATATAAAATATTAACGTGGCTTAACCGCGACCACACAAAACAAGAGGGCACGGGAAGGGCACCGAAATGGGAGGGCAGACAATCCAAGTCCTTTTTGTATAATATTTATAATTTCAAAGTTCAATGTAAAAGATTCGAAAATTTGTGTCCTCAATTAAAATCACGTAAACTTAATGGTGGATGAAAGGTCTCCGGATCCCTTTCATCAAATCCACCCAATCACTTAATCCGGGTTCTTGAAATTTGATCTAACGGCTAAAGTTATTATAACTTTTAAAATGACCCCTTATTTTTAACTGTTTGATCAAATTTTAAGAGCCCGGATTGATTGATTAAATTGATTTGGTGGAAGAAATCTGAAGAGGATATCTTTCAAAAGGTGGAGGGTGTAAAAATGCACTTAATTCAAAAAATAGAAATAAAACAAAGAAAACTTGGACTTCCCGTCAACTGAGCCCTAATTTATACTGATTATATGAGAAATTAAATTTTCTAAACATATAGTTAAAACTTAATTAACCTAGCTGATTAATTTTCTTTTCTTTCTTTCTTCTGTTTATAAATTAATTTTCTTTTAGTCGCTTCTTAATTTCTTCTGAATCATGATATTCTCTTCTGCAAACCAATCCATAACACAAATCACAGACTATGGTGCAGAAAAAAAAAAATTCACAAACGCTTCAGATAAAAATAAATGACAAACTTTGCTTGAGCTAAAAGATAAACGATCATGCCAGGCAACGCTAACGCTTCATGTTCGTGCATGACAGATGATTCCGAAAGTCTTTAAATTGGAATTGGAATGCTTGTTTCCAATCCGACCCGACGAAGAAAAATAATTGCTGGTATTGCAGTAAACCACTATTTTTTCATTTCAAATTCCGACCCAAGTTCATAACAAACCAATGCAAATGATACACAACACTATATTACATGAGCTTCACCAGTGGCAACTAGCAAGACATGTTCTTAAAAGACAAAGCAAATCCTAAGCGTCGTGATTAGGGAAGAAAACATTGAAAATACAGGATAAATGTTGATAAGTTTGCACAATGATGCTGAGAGTAACAATGCTACTCATAAGATACCTTCGAACAAATTCGGACTGTCCTAAAAGCTCTCCCATGATGGAGTTAGTCTGCTGTCCAACTCTGTTCCACGATTTCCCTCACTCTTCGGTTGTACTCACGCTTGTTCTCGCTAAACATGCGAGCAGCTTCTGAATTTGCAGGAGAGTTTGGGTTCGGATCACATAGTAGTGACTGCAATAAGCATATGCAAACAGTTAGGATCTTCTCAACGTATACACCGCTGTTTATATTTGTAGGGTACTACTATATCCTTCCTTGAGACACTAAGGTGCGGAAACAAAATTTTAACATCCCAAAGACGATCTCATTTTAGTTATAAGCTATATAGATGCTTCTTGCCACATGTATACCTGGTTTCGTGCTTTTTGAGTTCATAAATATAACCAAGGAAACAACAATGCTATGCACACAATCAAACATACCTGGATAGACGTGAGGATAGCTGCCACGTCATATATAGGACTCCACTGATTCTGTAAAATATCCAAACAAATACTTCCATCCGCGTAAACTGACCAAATTTGAAAGAAAATTTGAATTTAGAAACCACAGGAGAAATGTTTAACAAGTAACACAAAGCAAATGCTCATGTCAAATATATGTGTGCTCCAACTTACTATTTGGATGAAACATTCTAGAAACAAATCGGACTGTTGGTGGTTTGTTCGGATAATCCTCGGTAAACTGAAGAGTCAACTTAAATGTGCCTGCATAGCTCCAAGCAAAGTTATTTGATGTATATATCAACATAATTAAGCTTATTCAGCAGAAATATGCATATAATTGTCACGTCAATGAGAAAAACGGCACACTACACAAACAAAGGAGGAAATTTATAAGTTATATCTTTTATTCCGGTTCTAGTTTTCAGCTTTTATTATTGGAAAGTAAAAAATTTTAAGAACTTGGTGAAATAAATAATACATCCGACTGCAACTAAATAATTCATCGAGATGAAAGCATAAACTCATTAAAAACAAAAGAAACAGAAATAGTGATTCCCCGCTATTTAACTAGAGCATAACATAGGTTCTGTACAGGCTGTTTGTCTCCAACCCTGAATATAAAATGGTGAATAAAATATCCCATAAGAACATAATCAAAAGTTCAGTGCAAGGATTAACTGACCTCCATCCCAAGGAGTATCATCGGGACTGCAATCCAAACCAGACAAGAAACGAGAAATTGCTTATCCAACCGTACTTAAACATACCGAAAAAATGAATATTAATGTTGCATAATAGAAGAGGAAACAACAGTAGATTTCTTATATGCATTGCATTTTTCCAACTTACCCAAATATAACAGCATTCCACAGCATTATATTGTTATCATGGGGAGCCCCACTAATCCCTGCAGGCGGGTCCTGTTGCAGCCTCTTGAAGTCTCTCATCAGCCTCTTCCTTGCAGGAGTCGACATCGCTAATTTGCTACCACCTACATATCATCAACCCATTTTAAAAAACCGTATTTTAGATTAACTATGCATTGAATGAAACCAATTTCATCTTGTTTTCCAATGCCTGCCAAAACATCAAAAACCATTTTTCTACACCACATTGCATACAACAGATATTGGGGCAACTCCATTTGCGCAACGGAAATACATAATTACCAACACAAATACTTTAAATTACGCCATAGATAGCTCAGCTGAGCTAAGTATAGACAAAATTCATAGCTCAAGACCTGAAATCAAGCTTCTTCTCAAAAAAAAAAAAAAGACCTGAAATCAAGCTCAAAAACTGGAAATTTCACTTCAATTAAGCAGCTTTTCAGATGTTTCTAAATATGCATGACAACAAAAAAGAAGCATCCTTTCTTCACTAATTCAACACCAACAAAAACACCGTAAATTCATATTCAGGTTACAAATACTCAGGGTACCAAAAAGCCAATAAAGCTAGACAATTTGACCCCAATCCAACGCAAAAATTGAATCTTTCTGTTTATACATGCGCTACCCGCCTAAAATATCAATCAATTATAACAGTAAAATGGAAAATAAATTAAAACAACAGAAATTGAACACAATTTGGGGAAACTTGGAGGAAGATTATCTCACCTGGAGCTCCGAATCTCCAAGAGGTCCCGATCCGAGCAGGCTCCGAATTGGGTTACTGAAGATGGTAATCAAAGAAGGGGTTTCCGAGGTGGGTTTGATCAGATCGAAGCCGAAGCCATTAGGTTTGGTGGGGAGAGGAACACAGAGCTACTGTGAGAGAGAGAGAGAGAGGGTGGAGTTTTGTTTTGTAATTAGCTTTATTATATCAAATATCAAGTGAACAAGAATTTGGGAATTTTGTGGTGTGGTTGGGGTCGGTCTACTCAGCACTGTCCCTACATGCTAGCTGCCCTTCTCTTTCTTTATCAGCTTTTCTCCTCAAATTGTGAAAGGAGGAATATTGTCTCCCTACCCTTTTTCTTTTTCATTTTTGTGGTGTTTCTAATTCTCTGAGAGGCTCAAGAGCTACCATTCTCATATCATAAACCATCTTTGGGTTGTCATATGATTTGGCTATAAATATTAAACCTTGCATTCGAGTCAGAGGAGCATTTGTTCTTGCACGTAAAGTTCTGAGTTTGAATTTTGATGATGATGCTAGTGTATATGGACAATTGTCAACCGTTGATGCATGTAAAGTTCGTTGTAAAATAAGACACATTTTAACAATGTAACGGTAACACTAACACATGATTTATATGAATAACTTATTAGAACAAACATAGAATCCAGCATCATCTAATATGAGTCACATCCATAACACAAACCATAATTCACAACCCTTATATATGGAGAACATACATATAGATGCTTCAGTTCATGATGATGCCATGATCAATACCAGCAACAAAGAATAACAAACCTTCATCCTCTCCCTAAAAAAACAAATGACTCAAACTAATAATAGGTCTTAGTTCAAAATTGAGCGTTATATTTGTGAGAACGTAGGCCAGTATATATAAAACACAATCCTACGAAACTAAATTCGTTTCCATAATAAATTCAGTTTCTTGTTCTTTTAATCCTAGAACAACATGGATTAATAATCCATTCTTATCAAGTCTTCCTATCCAAACTTGAAACCAATAACCGATTCTCCATACTGATACTGATGCTTATTCTTACACAACTATCAACCCTCGATCGATGTGCATTACATTCGTATTAAGGAAAGACAAGTATTAATTGACAATTCATTATCAAATATCATACTTGTACAT